TCGGCAATTTTCTTTCTTCTCCGAGCTATTTTTATTTCAATTACAAAGTTAATCCGACTTTTTACGTATGGAATAACTATAGAATATATGAATTAGTAAAATCATGCATAATTTGGCTTTATTGAATAGGTGTTTTAATGATTGTTGAAAGTCAATATAGTTTGTCAATTACTCAGCTATATTTTTTTGTCATTTTCCAAATTTCTTTAAACTACTTCTAGAATTAAAAGTTAATTGACTTTAACCGGATAATCAGTCAATTCTAATGACTGAATTTTACTTGTTATTTACTGACCACTTTTCGTTAATAACGCTTCACAACAACATTCTGCTTAATTTAGTATGTAAATGTTACGATATCGATATTTCTAACATTTATTGCAATTAACTTCCTAGTATCAAAAAATAATTTTCTAACATGTCCTTACATTACGATTTACTTACAAAAGTGTGGTCCATTAGAATAGAACATCTTGTGATGTAATTCGACAATTTGTGGTTAAAGTCAAATTATTTATTGTAACCTGCCTGCGATTTGCTGCAAAAAGCAGCGAAAACCGTCGATTCAATGGGAAAATTATTTTAGAAACTAACTGCATTGTTTTCGTAAGACAATGAACTGTGTCATAACTGTCTAGGATAATTTCTCATTAAGATTGTTGCATTTAAAGAAGTATTACCAGTCCTGTGCACGTGATCAGTAGACAATTTCAGTGAAAATGGGGGTAGTCACCTTGGGGACATTTTCGAAAAAATTGGTCGGTCAACCCTACATAACAAGATCAATATGATGTGTCTGGCATGTCATTCGTCTAGGTCATTCTTCTAGAATAATCACATTTTTAGCATGAATACTCAATTTTAAGGTTGGTTAAGTGATCATGTCTTCTAATTCAAGTCTATGGAAAAATTAATGCGTAGTCTTGGAAAGTGAAAAAACAACAAAAAAAAAGAACATAAAACAAAAACAACAACAATACACATGATCTGATAGGTGGTTCACGAAACCTTTCTTTGTGTTAGAACACTTTACATTTCAGTGGTATGAATGACTATGATAGAACACAGCGATGCAAGACACTCAATTTGGGCTTGCAAACGAAAAAGTTGATATATCTATTCAGCGTTTATTTATAAGAGTACTATACAATTATCTATGGAAAATATTAGTAGATTGCTGCCGTGATACGTTCAACACATGTACATCACAATAATTCAGTGATCTATAGAACCTTAGGCTGAAGTTTTAAAATTGTATTCTCCTCATCCATATTTCACCCATGAATACGCAGACCGTTTAACTATCAAACTGAAATACTGTTTTTCTTTTCATAGCATTTCCATTTCGAGGCAACATTAAATACGTAAAAAGGTACCTATAAAGCACGCCTTGTTACAGGTATTAATATGAAAAGAACTGTTTCATAAGTGTCAAGAAAAAATTTTCATTTGGGTGTTTGCATTTAAAAAAGTAGTCCTGTGATCAGCAGATTTCTGTCAAAGGGGGCTAAAGGTTGTGTACTCAATTTTAAGGTTGGTTTAGTGGTCATGTCTTAATTCAAGTCTATCGGGAAAATTAATACGGTAATCTGGACTAATTAATAGAAAAAAACAACATTCAAAAGAACAACAACAACAAAACCAAAAAAAAAAAAAAAAAAAAAAAAAAAAAAAAAAAACATGATCTGATGTATTCCCTTCCAAAATATTCTCGGCCCGATGTACTTCCGGTAGTCAGAGAATTCAACTAAAGGTTTACTTTTCAATGTAATCGCCCTTTACATCAATGCACTTTGCCCACATGCAGTGCCCCAACTTGTTTCACCCTTCAAAATGATCTGTCTATTTTGGTCCTCTAAGAAGGACTGTAAGGTTACAGCTATTTCTTAATTTATAAGTGTAATATCTTTTAAGACACATTGATGTTTTTGTGTTATTTCTGACAAAACCTTGATTAAGCTTCTTTTACTTTACAAAAATACGATGAGTGTTGCAGTTTTAATGATCCCATCAATGGTTATTGAATCAGCCCCAGCCGGTAACTCAAATCAAATGTCATCCATTGTTAATGACATACTTGATCTTAAGCTACAGTTAAAGACCGAAAAGGGAAAAAAAGCGAATCAAATTAGAGACGGAGCTTGATATGTATAAACAAATTCAAGGTGCCACTGGGCATGAAGTGCGGATCTTTGATGGAAAAATGAACAAACTTATCAATGGCTTTTTACGCTAGACTTTCGAAAAGTTATGACAATATTTCTCCGTAAGCGACAGTAGTGTTTGATGAAGTTGAAACAAATAACGGAAGCTCTTACAACAGTACAAGTGGTGAATTCACGGCACCCATACCAGGTACATACATTTTCTTCTCAAATATACTCTCAGGGATTGATCAAAGGATAGAAACTTCACTTCGTATCAATGGTGTAGATAAAATGTTTTTAAATTCTGGAGGGAAGTTTCACGGATCGGGAAGCAACATGGCTGTTGTTAACCTGAGTGCTGGAGACAAAGTGAAAATGGTAAAGCATGGATTGTGGGGAACAGGTCCATCATACATACACCAAACATGGAGTTCGATTTCTGGATTTCTCCTTCGGGCTGATCCTAGCTTCTTTCTGTCTAGCTATTCAACTCCTGTTGAGGCAAACCTTGCAACAGTTCGTGGAGGATTATAATACCTGTAATGTAGGGATAAACGGACACAAATTGTGACTTTAACTCAACTTCCATCTTTATGTGACAAACTGGCGAGACACAATTATCATAACATTTAAACAAGACAACAGTGTGGTATGCAGTACTGTTCAAAGAGATAATGTTTTGTTTTATCATTTTATGCAGGAACAATATTATTACTGACATGAACATTGGCTTACGTCATGGCGATAATACTGAAGTATTTCATAAAATAAAGTTTTAGCTTTGTAATGTCTCTTTTTTATTTATTAATGTGAACGATTGACATTAACATAAATTGATCATGAATTAAGTCTTAATCAAATATATAATAAATATAATACATGATTTTCTTTTAAATGTAAAATTACGGTCATCATTAAGACTAAACTAGAAATGTGTCATCATGCCACGGATGCCCCCGCATGCAGCCAAAATTTCAGATGTTATAATATTTAGTTCCAAATTTGTTTGCACAAATTATTTTTTTCATTTTAAGTTCAAAGCCCTTAAAACTTTTTAATGTTAACACAAACCATTTTCATACAAGGTTCAAGGCACTGACATTATTCAGTCTTAAGATTTTGAAAATAGCATATTCCCATTCCTTTGACATATCCATATGTCAAATTTGAGTTGAATGTGTTGTACCGTTGGGGAGATAATGGACGGAAACTGAAAATTTCATATTATTTTCAAAGTTAAAAAGGGGAATAACTCTGCCAAAAATCATCGAACCATGACCAAATTCCAACTTGACATGTATATTCTCATGCCATATTCATATGTCAAGTTTGAAACTGAATGTGTTGTATTGTTGGGGAGATAATGAACGGAAACTGAAAATTTCATATTATTTTTAAGTAAAAGGGGAATAACTCTGCCAAAAATCCTCATACCATGACCGAATTCAAACTTGACCTGTATTTTCTCATGCCATATCCATATGAATGTAAGCAACCGTAACTAAGATAATGAACGGAAACTGATGATGACGGAATGACAGAATGACGGAAGGATGGAAAAACGGAAGGACGGAATGACGGAACAGGGTAACAATATATGCCCCGGTCATTACATGGCGGGGCATAAATAAGTACGATTTGTATAATCAAATAAAGGATCGTTCGGAACAGGTCGCTAATCAATTAAAATTGTATTGCTATGGTTTTTCCCTTTAAGCATTGCATACTGATTTAAATTGTTAGATGTCTTTTACTACCTGTCAATGACTAAAAAAGACAATTGATGATTATGTAAATGTATATATTTACATATTATGTTAGTATTTAAACATGTTTTATAAATCAAAATGTCACTGAATAATCAATCACTGATCTAAAAGTGATTAATATCTATAGTATTTCATTATCAATCTGGTGTAATAACGTTTTGCCACTATGTCGGTCTGTATAGAGGAAACACATGATTAAATAAATTAAATGGGAATCTATGTGATACAGGGGAAAGATTAATATAAAAAGATTACAATGCGGGATAATATAAGTATACTGTGTCAACAAAATTGTAAGAGTTATCGAACATTTGCCGTTTCGCTTTATTTAAATTATTACAAGCTTTATCTTTATTGAACACACTTAAGATTTTAAGATAAGCACTTTTTATATATGACATTTCGATAATACATGATACATTTGTATATATTTCAACAATAGTAGAATGATTTACATCGGCTTTATAATTGATCAAAGCTGTTCATACAAACCATATAAAAGAACAGTATAACATTTCATAAACCTGTGTTCGTAAATCAATAACCCAAAATATGAAATATAGAAGAAGTGTACATTACATTTCAATAAATATGATACAATTGCATTCCTGGTTTCATCCAGTTTTTACGACCGTGGAAAACTTTATCTTCTAGACGGAGAATTAAAGGGTTTCTTTGGACGATATCAATAGCACAGGGTTCGTCTCATATTGGTGCGACATGAAAAAAATACCAACTTGGATTATCTTTTGTATTAAATGAAGACTTCATTATTATATCGAAGTAGACAATCTTTATACATAAATAGATAGAGTTTGATTAAGTTGAGTATAAAGTAAGACTATGTGTGCATCTATCATCTTAATCTATTGGCTGATTAGGTCTTGTCAAACAATGCCTTTACATTGTATTTGGATATGACATATTATTCATAATAGTCATGTAAAGAAGTATAATGATATTGGCCCTAGACAATAACACTTCTTATTTAAAGTTGATCAAAACATGATTTTAAGAGTGCCGTAATCTATTAAGCTAAAATATTAATTGATACAAGTAAACAAACTGATTGATTATATATTGAATTTGAATCAATACTGTTAGCTTAATCATTTCCTATAAATTCAAACTGAAATTAATTTCCGTGTCAGATAGTACAATGTAACATGGATTGTTTTTGAAATGGTGGTCAGTGCTATCGTTTTATTTATTAAATCAAACAACCTTTACGACTTTAGTTGAGCGGTGTATCCGGTATGATATTATTAACATGAAATATAATTTTAAAGGAAAAACGTTCATTTTACTTTCGTTTTCGTTTATTTAAAATGACAACAACATTAAAGGAGTTCAAATAAGAATATAAAGACAAGAGTTACATATCGTATCTTCATAAATTCATATTCAATTTGGTTATGTCAATAATCGCGCGGCTCCTTCCTAATTATAACTTACATTAAAAGAGATAAATGAAATGGGATCGCGTTGTTGTCGTGAGAATAAAGATAAATTAGAGGTTGATGAGGGAGTAAGTCATAATAATGCAAAACGGCCGACCTCACCGTCAGAAGTTACAGTGGCTGACAAAACACACGAAAGGTAAGGGAAAAAACTTGAAATACCTTTGAATTAGTTGATGATTACAGAAGTCTTAACAATAAATACTGGCTGAGTGGCTATGTATGTTCACAAAAATTTTGCAAATGTCAAAAATGGACTTTTTGTGTGCAGAAAATTTTGCGAAAGTATGATTTCTTGAACTTAATACTGTTTTGGAATATCATAAATTGGGCAGCTACATGTTAAGAATAGTTTAATACCTTTATTATTTATAACATTGTTTAAAATATATATTGCTTGTTTGATAAAGGACCTCAACGCACATTTCTCCATCATACTTTAAAATATGGTTTGTTATATGAATAATATATTGTTTCATGTGATTTGTTAAGACCAAACTTACACAAACAAAGCAAGCGATGAGAAAAATTAATCCCAGTACTTAAACAATCAAACTTTATGCACTAAAGATGCTGTATGGAAACGTGTTTTCAAGAGATAAAAAAAAACGTTTGCCTTAAAAGAAATAAAATTTGCGCGATCACATATTTGCAAATAATTTCAATTCGCAACAATCGCAAATATTTCCACGTCGCAAAATAAACTACTAACACAGTAAGTTAAAATATTTATCTTAAATGGGGATAACAATACTAAATTGATTCGACTAATTTTGTCCCTATATCCTGAATAATACAAGAAATAAGTGAATCTTTGCGGAGTGCTTGTAATTTTTTCTTTATAAGTACATTACATTTAGGTTGTCAAAAATGTGTAACTTTTTTTTTTTTTGCGCGCGCTCCAACCGTTTTTTCTTTTTTCGGTTACCACCTTAAGCATTTAGAAATAAATAATGTTGAATTATGTTTGTTTTATTCCATACTAAAGATGTCTTTACAAAGAAAAGATGTACAAAAATGAAGTGAAAAAGCTAGAAAAACAACTGATGGACCTTGAAAAACTGACTATAGATAAAGATAAAGAGATTATTACACTAACAGAAAACCATAACCAACAGATGGAGGAGCACATTTTGAAGTAATGATATTTATTATCATTAGTTTATATGTTTAAGAAAATAGAATTATTAATGAAAATGTATGTATTGTAGTGTTATAAGGTTCTGGTAGAGTAGCATTTTGTCAACAGGATAAATCAGAGGAATGGCATAAATCTTGGTAATTTTTAATGTTGTAAACACAAACATCATAAGTTTATCACGCCATTCGAATTAATGATTATTAAGAGTTTCCTCATTTTTGAAAAACAAATCCTTCTAATAGCAAAATTATTGTTCAGAAATATATCCATACTGGTCGGAAACCATCAACCGGACACTTTTGGAACATTTTTCCGTACATATTTTATAATTTTTAACCTAGAGACCAAACAATTTGACACAGTTCAGCTAGGTTCTTCTCCTAACTAACAAACTAATTTGTTTATTTCTGATTGTATTGACACTTGCATCTGAGGCTCGTAAAGGAGGGTATCAAAATTACCTAAATTGTCTACACTACAGTACCATGTGTCCGGACAGATATGTACATGATGTGATTTAATTCAGATAAAAGCTTGGGTGTTATGATTTTTGATTTGTAACATGATATACAATATGTCAACAACAAATGCTGAAGTTTTGGATATTCTATTATTCACTATGCAAATGATTATAGCTGGTATATGAGGTTAGGCATTGCTTTCTTGACCCCCGAATTTCAACGTCAACATTCTTGAAATAGACATTAAAATATTACCATTTACGGAGGTTGAAATAAATTTATTTACTTAATTTTTAAAGAAACATGCACTTATTGTTGATAAAAAAGTGACTGACAACCACAGAACAAAGTAAATACTAAATTAAGCATTTTCATGGCCGTCCGGGTTTGGTGGTTGTCCGGTTTTGGTGTTCCCAACCAGAAGTGGTAAATTAAGCTTACATTTTGCATACAGGTGACCTTTAAGACTTATAACTGTCCTATGTTGTCAATTTTACTGTTCTTTATAGTGCCCATTACCTATGATCTACTTATAGGTCTACCTTTTCTAATGTTGAATTATGTTTGTTTTATTCCATATTTAAGATGTCTTTACAAAGAAAAGATGTACAAAAATGAAGAGAAAAGGCTAGAAAAACAACTGATGGACCTTGAGAAACTGACTATAGATAAAGATAAAGAGATTATTACACTAAAAGAAAACCATTATCAACAGATGGAGGAGCAAATTTTAAAGTAATGCTATCTATTATCATTAGTTTATATGTTTAAAAAAATAGAATAATTATTGAAAATGTATTTATTGTAGTGTTATAAGGTTCTGGTAGAGCAGCATTTTGTCAACAGGATAAATTAGAGAAATGGCATAAATCTTGGTAATTTTTAATGTTGTAAACACAAACATCATAAGTTTATCACGCCATTCGAATTTATGATTATTAAGAGTTTCCTCATTTCTAAATTTTATTTACATTTTGCATACAGGTGACCTTTAAGATTTATAACTGTCCTATGTTGTCAATTTTACTGTTCTTTATAGTGCCAATTACCCATGGTCTACTTTAACTGTTTCTTGCTTTTTTCAGACATGAATATGAACGCAATGCACTTGATAGAAACATTTCAAAGCAAAGAGAACAGAATCGAGAACTGAGGGAGGAAAATGATACGCTCTTGACAAGGTAAAATATTGTCAATGTTGATACACTCTTGAAAATATATAAATTAAAATATAATTATAATATTATTTTTTTCAATATCATTTGTGGAAAATCTTGCTTGCTTACTCATACTTGTTCAAAGGTTACGATTATATTAGTGTATTAGTCTCACAATTGTGCAGATCACTAAGATCACGACCAATATACGAGATCCATATTTGGAGGTTACCTTAGTGTTAATTGACAAATTTAAGCCTTCTATATTTATGACGACAAATGTTTTAAGACATATATTTTAAGACATACCGCACGCTTAGTGTTCAACCCATTTACAGTTGGACACTACGCTTTCCTCTTTTAATTACATCTGACGGACCAAGTGGGAGACTCTATGATGGACAGTTCTTAAAGCCCTTTGGGACTGAATTGCCTTAATGTTTGTCTTCTGTCTTGCTTCGTCGGGCCCTTGTAGGTGATTTTCTTTGTTGCTCTGTCTTCCTTTAGGACATCGAGTACCTTTGTTATGGTCATTGGGTTAACTTTTATATGTTTTTACATGATCATTTTTGTGTTTTACTTATTTAACCTTTTGTAACCATAACAACTGTTAGAATTTCACTTGGGGGGGGGGGGCTGAGAGCGAGGTTTGGTGCACCATTAACCGGTTGGTTTAAACTCCCCAGCAGTATTTATGCTGCTGACCGTTCCAAGGCGGCGCCCCTCTGTGTTCCTCAGATGTATGTCTATGTTGTTTCATACTGTTTTGGTGACACTTGTGTCCCTTGTTGTTTTCTCGTCTACGGTAAGTATCTTCCCCTTTGCCCCTAGTTTTTATTTATTTTATGTATCTCCTCCCTTCTCCTGATCTCCTGTCCCCTTCCCCTGTGCCCTTTGACTTTATGGGCCTATTTTCAATCATTTATTTGTTTTCTTTTAGTGCCTTATTAGTAACTAATTGTTTATGGTTTTAGTGGTTAGCCTGCCCATGCCCTTGTGCCCTGTCCTGTTTTTGTTTTGGGGTCCTCCTGGGCTCCTTGCCACTGGCTCTTATTGCTGGGTCGGGTGAGGGTTGCTTCATTGAACGCCGCCTTTCCTTGTCGATCTTGTTTATCATATTTTGAACAAGTAACTGTACCAGAAACAAACAGACTTATTTCCTGGAATATTTATGATGGTAACAAATGATTGAGTTCCCTAAGCATAACAATTGCAGGCCTCTGCAGAGTTACGATACTAAAATCTCCCAGACTGATACAAAGTCTAGCCCCAACAGATTGATAGTAATAAAAAATGACAACAAATGAAGTCTCAATTCTCATTAAAACTCAATCATTCAATCAAACCTTAACCAGGTGCCTTGCTTAAACTACAACAGTACTTATGTTTACCTGTTTATCAACGTGATTGTAATAGTTTACAATTTACTATAAGTAGGTGTTTAGAAAAGGGGAAAGAAAACAATGAAAAACCAAAAAGGGCAATGTCTTTATGATATGTTTATATTTCTGCTGTATTTGCAGATTCAGTGATGTTGCCAGTGCTAAGCTTACCGACGGGAACCCTAATATTGCAGACTTGAGTGATAAAAACCGACCTACAAAATTAGCTGAACAATATTCAGAACTCTATGACAATGAATGGACTGACGCCTTTGGTGTATTAAAAGGTGGAAACTCGGAAGAAAATGCATGCCGTATTCTTTTACACATGTTTTGTGTAAGAATAAGAATTAATTTCATAACTTATAAAAGACAAAATAATAAAAAAATAAATAAAAATATTTCGGAAAAAATCTGATTTGCCACATACGTGTTTAATTCGATAAATAAAAATAAGATTGTAGAAATAATGAATGTTAATTTTACCATGAGTGTACAACAGCAATGAATATAAATATCATGTTTGTATTTTTATTTTCTAATTGTTTTGCAGGACATTTATATAGCTTGTATAAAAAAGGCCGGACAAGATTGTGATAATGTGACAGATGCCATCAAGACCTTTCTCGATGTATGTTTTTATGTGTACTGTTTATCGTATTTATGTTCTCGTCGCTTTTCTCTGCATTATTATAAAATCAAAAACATACACCCTAAAAAACTGGGAATCAAAATTGATATTGGTATCGTTTAATACGTAAGTGTTGTCATTCTAATTTAATTCATTTTTTTCTAATTTTCACTGTTCGTGTCATAATCCTAAAATATTAAAAAGGTAGACATATTTGGAATAGATAAGAATTTAAGTTATTACTTTCATTGCAATTATGTTATTGAGGATGAATATAATTTTTTCTTTTGAATGTTCACTATATAACGATATCAGAGCTGTCTATTTAAAATATACGTGGTTACATCACCATTCCCACGATTTATTTTATACCCTTGTGTAATCAACAATAACAAATGAAGTAATATCTATTGCTAAATATTTATATCATGCAATGAATGTAAGAAAGGAATAGCTAAATAAGCATTTCAAAATTCAATTCATTTCATCTAGTTACAAATGTAGTTGCAATTTATCACTCAATCACAGTACCGTTTGATTATATTTTGTAATTTGTATTTTGAACCTGAGGTCTTTATTACCAGAAATAAACTGAAACTGAACTGAAACTAAATATATTTTTTAATCTTAAACTGTCCATGTTGACGATCTCTTTTGTAAATGTCATTTAAAGCAAAGTTTTATGTTATGTTAGAAACAGGTCGGTTATTATGATAAAATATAATGAATTCATGATCTTTATCATTAGGGGCAGCAACCACCAGTCGAGTTATTGAAACAACTGAAAGACAACAGAAAGAACAATACCGCAGGACAAAAAACTATTATTAAACAGGTATTGATATAAACCAATGTCAGCATATTTTGATATATCATTCGGCAATTGGAAACAATGTGAAAATAAACTGGAAAACGTTTTATTTAAATTATTTTTTCGGTTAAGTGGATTGATGTTAATGTACTCGTAATGCTAACTTAATACTAAATTATACTAAATTATAGGAAACAGCGCTTGCATTGCTAAAATGAATAGAGACGTATACTCATTTGTAGTTGTGACTGTATTCATAATATCATTTATTTCAGGAAATTAAAGGAAAAATAAAGTGTATTTTACCCGAAAAAGAACTCCGAAAGGACCAACATGTTAAACGATTTTTTAAACAGTGGTATAGTTTTGTTGCGTTAGCAGTTCAGATTCCCAAACCCTCTTGTTGTGCAAATATGATCGGCTTGATGAACTGCATGATAGTACTTGTTACAAGCTTATACAAAACGCGTATTTACATAGCATACATAGTATGGCCAGTATTATACTTGCACGAAAATGGAAACATTTTAATGAAAGGCATTGCTCAGTGTAAGGCTAAAAACAGCAAACACAGTAGTGTACATTCTCTAACATCAACAAAACCAAAAACAGGAATGAGTTACAACAATTTGATTTGAAAGATAATAGCAAGGCAAAACAATTTGGAAAACACATCAAACAATTGTCTGCCTCATCAAATGAGTCCCGAAGAAGCAAAGAAAGACTATGATAACAAGGAAATATTGAAATCAGCAAATAAACATTAAGAGTGCCCAACGCTATGATCACAGAAGACGATCGTTCAAACGATCGGGAAATACCAAACAAAAATAGTTTGGGAAAAAATGAAATCAATCGAGCAACTACACCAAGTCACATTCAGGTGCAACTACACAATTAAATAAAAAAGTAAATCGGAGCAGGACATTAAAATTGTGATTGTGACATTTCTTTAACATTTATATAATGAGCTGCTCCTAATTGACTATCTAAACGAAACTGTAAAACAATGGAACATTATTATAACTGTCATAAGCTGTAACTCAAAGTACAATTTACCAGCGATGACACTGCGACAGCATCACACTCAAACTGAAGCACATCTAGGGACATGGGACTGAGAACATGTTTTTTTTAAATGTTCATAAACGCCATTTTTGAGCTTTCATAATTAATTAGGCAGTGAATGGTGTTATTTTTTTCTTTCGGTTAATATAAATAAATGTAATATTGCTTTCCATTTAAGTTATCAAACTAAGATTTTTCTTACTTTTGAAACACAGACTTTTGTTTTCATTACATGTAGAAAATGGTGATTGTTTCAGACGTTCTCGCACATAATAACGGACTATTGTGAATTTTTACAAAATTTATAAATTGTTGCTCTGTTTTTACTTAACCATGTACAGTTTTGAATCTGTTTCATGAACATTTTTAAACATTTTGTTTAGTTGTATAATTATCTAAAATAATTCAATTGTGACCATTTTTGACATGAAAATATATCATCACCGTATAAAAAGTGATGACGCGAAACTAGTGATGTTGAATATACAGATTATTGACTCATTTTGAAGGATTAATGCATGTAGCAAATGAAATTCTAAAGCTTATATAATGTCGTCTATGAAATGAATAAATAGACAAATGCACTTGACAGCGGTCCTGAAAAGATTCATGGAAATAATATATTTCCGAATCATCTTTGATTTTTCATTGTCTGAAATGTTGGACGAAACCCGTGTTAAAATGCATAAAAAGCAAGCACTTGAGCTTACCAGTGGTGCAAAGTACTTGATAGCATACTCATGTCGCTTTTACTATATTACATGACTATGTATATTTTTGCTGGGCGTCTTTTGCATTATACAGATATAACTTAAAGTCTTGCCTTTAAAAAATGAAATTATATTTATGTAACTTCAATTATAATAAAACAGAGGCTTCAATAACATATCATTCGCGTCATATGCTTGCATTGATATTATAATATTTAACTCGTTCAATTAGATCAGTATTGAACCTGCACTCATGAATATCCAATACAAAAAAAACCCCAAAAATCAACAAAATTGTGTGGATTGATAACACAAAACACGTGTTACATATTCGATTTGTACAATATACGATAATTGTTATTCAGTCAGTCTCTTTTCAATGTAAAAAACAACATTTTTAAGTAAACACAGAGAAGATTTGTTACAGTTTAAACTTTACACACTACGAGTGAACATTGTAAAATTTGCATTTTTTGTTGTTTGTGTGTGTGTTGGTGTGCGTGCGTGTGTGTGTGTGTGTGTGTGTGTGTGTGTGTGTGTGTGTGTTTCGTTAAGAAAGGACTGAATCAAGTAATATGAAATGCAGCTTCAATAACATTGTTTCGACCTGCTCATATTCAATTACAAATATATGTGGCGGGGTGTGGTATATGTACGGAATTTATTGCAGTAACCGGCTATTGCAATTGTTTGTCCACGAAACACAATATTCTTACCGATTTAATGTATTGATTACATGTGATGACAGCAACGATGTGTGTTAGATTACTTTCGGTTCAGAAAATTCATTTGTTTACCATCAAAACTCATATGTTTACCATAGGAACCAGATATAGATAGAAAGCAAATTAAATAAAGGTAAAGAAAAAAACTGTCCGTTTCTGAACAAAAAATCGAATAAATAAATACAAAGTCTTTTTAGCTCACCTGAGCTTGCTCAGGGTGAGCTTTTAGGATCGATGAATGTCCGTCGTCCGTCGTCCGTCCGGCCGTCCACAATTGCTTGTGAACACTCTAGCGGTCGCATTTTTTGCCTCAATCATCATCAAAACTTGGTCAGGATGCTTATCTAGTTGAAAGCTCGGATGAGTTCGAACATGGGTCATCTCAGATGAAAAAACTAGGTCACAAGAGCTAAAAATAGAAAAACCTTGTGAACACTCTAGAGGTCACATTTTTGACCCAATCTTCATCAAACTTGGTCAGGATGTTTGTCTAGGTGATAGCTCGGATGAGTTCGAACATGGGTCATCTCGGATGAAAAAGTAGGTCACAGGAGCTATAAATAGAAAAACCTTGTGAACACTCTAGTGGTCACATTTTTGAACCAATCATCATCAAACTTGGTCAGAATGCTTGTCTAGTCAATTGCTTGGATGAGTTCGAACATGGGTCATCTCTGATGAAAAACTAGGTCAACAGGAGCTAAAAAAATAGAAAAACCTTGTGACCACTCTAGTGGTCACATTTTTGACCCAATCATCATCAAACTTTGTCAGGATGCTTGTTTAGATAATAGCTCGGATGAGTTCGAATATGGGTCATCTCGGATGAAAAACTAGGTCACCGGAGCTATAAATAGAAAAACCTTGTTAACACTCTAGCGGTCACATTTTTTGCATCAATCATCATCAAACTTGGTCAGGATGCTTATCTAGTTGATAGCTTGGATGAGTTCGAACATGGGTCATCTCGGATGAAAAAGTAGGTCACCGGAGCCTAAAAATAAAAAACTTGTTAACACTTTAGCGGTCACATTTTTGCATCAATCATCATCAAACTTGATCAAGATGCTTGTCTAGGTAATAACTCGGATGAGTTCGAACATGGGTCATCTCGGATGAAAAACTAGGTCACAGGAGCTAAAATATAAAAAACCTTGTTAACACTCTAGTGGTCACAATTTTGACTCAATTGTCATCAAACTTGGTCAGAAGCTTGTCTAGGTCATTGCTGGGAATAAATCGAACATGGGACATCTCGGATGAAAAAACTAGGTCACAGAAGCTAAAAATAGAAAAATCTTGTTAAACACTCTAGTGGCTACTGTTGTGATCCAAATATTCTGTTAATTGGTCTGAAAGTTTGTTTTGATGATTTCTAAGTCAAGATCGAACATGGGTCATCTTGGATGAAAAACTAGGTCACACCGCCCAAATATGGAAAAACCTTGTTAAGCATTCTAGTGGTCACATTTTCGACTCCATTATCATCAAACTTGGTCAGAATGCTTGTCTAGGTAATTGCTTGGATGAGTTCGAAAATCGCATGTGAAACTAGGTCACCGGAGCTAAAATAGAAAAAATCTTGTTAACACTCTAGTTGCTACTGTTTTGATCCAAGTATCCTGGAAATTGTCTGAAAGTTTGTTTGATGATTTCTAGGTCAAGTTGAATATGTGTCACCTGGGTAAAAACTAGGTCGCACTGCTCAAATATGGATAATCCTTGTTAACACTGTAGTGGTCACATTTTTGACTCACCTGTCATGAGACTTGGTCAGAATGCTTGTCTAGGTAATTGTTTGGATGAGTTTGATAATTCAGGTGAGCGATCTAGGGCCATCATGGCCCTCTTGTTAAAAGGTCCCTTCTTTAAGTTCATTTGAAAGGGGAATAATTTGGTGGAATTTTAGACAGGGAAACAGGCAGTTATCTTTCATGGCTAGGGAATATGGCCGACTGAAATCATGCATGCAAGTTTGTAAGTGAAATGTAGTATAAATTCATAGACATTTCGGAGTTAGTTTAAGGTAAAAATTAGAAAATCATATAAAAATAGCTTTTAACAGAAACTCAAAAGATGTCTACATAGCTTTATGGCCAAGATTGCCCAAAAAGGGTACAGAAAGACGATTTTTTAAGAATTCCCCCTTACGATTACGGACCTGACATTGAAATTATTGTTGTAAAAATGTTGAAATATCATATATATTAGCAAATATAGAAGTCAATTTAATTTTGTTGAAATCGTCCATATAAAAACTATTTTATTAAAACGCTATAATATATATACATTTTATATAAATTTTATAACACTTTAAAATCGAGGTTAATTAGTCATTCTGAAAACACGTGTAATGTTAGTAATGCATTTTAGTTTTCGGTTTAGCTTAATTTAATCATTTATCCGACTTGACTGAGATGCCAAAAAAGAAAAAAATATTAGTCACATATATATTTAAATAAATTTTTAAACTCTTGAGAACTTAAGATGGGGTGCGTGGAATAACACACATTTTGTCCGGTTCCTTGTAACACAAGTCATGGAAATGCAAGTCACGTACACTATTGTCACTTCACAAAATCAATAAACATTGATGAGATTGCGTGTATAAACGAAAGTTACTTAAATTACGATTTAATCATTTCATAAAGAAATTCACTATGTCATGTTACTAAAACCACCCGGTTAGAATGATAAACTAGCTGCAAATTAACACCGGTCACGTGCAACCTGCTTGACACTTACCGCCTTGCCAAATCCACTTTCAAAGTAATATCAATAGTGTAATATTATGTAATACATGGGTAATAAAATGTGATCTTTTAACTTCCTGCTGTTTTAATTTTAAAATATTGATGAAAAAAGTCACCTAATGATACCTTGAACAGAGGACTTTTGGACGTTTGGTCGTTAAATTATAAGTCCCGCTAATTTTGTGTATCTGTTATAAATATCAATTCACGTTTTAAGTACTTAACGCTTCAATTCATCCCAAAATTTCTTTTTTCTGGGTGCCCTACGCCGAATGCGCATGCGCGAAATGCAACATACGTTGCTATGAAAAATCGTACTGTAAAAAGGTCTATATGTATAACGATATATTCTTAAATAGCAAGGCGTGTTATCTGAGTTAAT